CTCTCTCTCGCTCTCTCTCTCTCTCTCTCTCTCTCTCTCTCTCTCTCTTCTATCCCATCTCAAGCTCATACTGGGATAGAACCTATTAATCTTTATTATCCACTCCTGCCACTACGTCTATGTTATCATGACCCACATCAACGTTACACTGGTTACAGTAGCAGTTGTACAATAGTTCAGTTATTGTTACAGTAGCAGTTAAACAATAGTACGGCTATTGTCAGAGTAGCAGTTGAACAATATTAAAGCTATTCTCACAGTAGCAATTATACAATAGTACAGATATCATCACATTAGCAGATGTACAATCGTACAATTATAGATACAGTACAAGTTGTACGTACAGTACTGCTATACTTGCAGTTAGGATTGTACAGTGCAGGTAATGTTACGGTAGCAGTTGTACCGTACAGTTATTAAAACAGTAGAAGTGGTCAATAGTCGGTTATAATAGTAGGCAATACAGTAGGTTACAATATTAGATTAGGTAGTAGGTTTAAATATTAGGTTAGGTAGTAGGTTTAAATATTAGGTTAGTAGTTAATATTAGTTAATATTAGAATAGTAGGCCTATATAGTTATTACACTCATGCACGTGTGTGTATGCGTGTCTGGCTGCCTGCGTGCTAGTTCTGATACTAGTTCTAATACTGTGCAGCAGCAGCAGCAGCAGCAGCAGCAGCAGCTGATGCGAGCGTGGGTGGAGGGAAGTGTTGCACGAACGACTCCCATCGCCTGTGTTTCTGCGCAATGCCGCCTGCGTGCGTGCGTGCGTTCGTTCGTTCGTTTGTGCGTGCGTGCGTGCGTTCGTTTGTGCGTACGTCCGTGCATGCGTGCGTGCGTGTGTGCGTGCGTGCGTGCGTGCGTGCGTGCGTGCGTGCGTGCGTGCGTGCGTGCGTGCGTGGAGGAGGAGGAGGAGGAGGTGTGTAAGTCTGGGGGAGGGTTTAGGACGGATGTGCGGGGCGTGGTTGCAACGCACTCACGGCTGTAGTAAACATCTGCTTGCTGCCATTAACCCACAACGCGCGCCATGTGGGCAGTCACACGCATACACGCACGCACGCACACACACGCACGCACACACGCACACACGCACACACGCACACGCACGCACGCGTACGTACGCGCGCTCTCTCGCGCTCTCTATCTCTATTAATCTCCCTCAAGCGATCTATCTCTCCCCCTCTCTCCCTCTCGTTTGATTTGTCGTTCTCTCTTGCGCAATCTAGGCACGACCACGAACTGCCTTCACTTCCACTAGCTAGAGGGCGAGAAAGAGAGAGAGAGAGAGAGAGAAAGAGAGAGAGAGAGAGAGAGAGAGAGAGAGGGGGGGAGAGAAAGAGAGAGAGAGAGAGAGAGAGAGAGAGAGAGAGAGAGAGAGAGAGAGAGAGAGAGAGAGAGAACCCACATACATCACTGTAGCGCAAAAATGATCGCGATGGCATTCGCTCAAAATCGTTTTTTTACTAATGTGAGATATCGATCTTGTTCCGAACGCCAGCGAAACGCCGCGTCGTTTGACGGTCGCTGTGGCGTAGTTCCGGGAACGGGGTTGCCCGCGGCGAGGAAGGAATGCAATTCTAATTCCATTTCGTCCGTTTATAGGGTTTGCAAAAATTGCGAAGTTGCGAAAAATTGTCCACGCACGCACGCACACCCACACGCACGCACGCGCACGCGCGCACACACATACATACACACGCACGCACGCACGCACGCGCGCACGCACGCACACACATACACACACACACACGCACACACACGCGCGCACGCACGCACGCACGCACGCACGCACGCACGCACGCACGCACGCACGCACACGCACGCACACACACGCACGCACACTGTGTGTGCGTTCGTTCGTGCGTGTGAGTGTGTGTGGTTGTGTGTGTGCGTGTGTGCATGTGTGAGTGCGTGCGTGTGTGCGTGCGTGCGGGTCTGATATAGCACGCAGTTCAGGGTTTTATTACGAAACCAAAAACATTTCATACTTCACTTGTCAACCGTTGTGAAACCGCCACCAAACATTGCACATATAAAGTAAATCTTCGATATATACGTTCAAAACAACACAGAATACCAAAGTAAATGTAAACTGCACATGTATACATACATGTACATGTACATACATACACATATGTATATACATATGTATATGTATGTACATGTTATGTATGTGTACATGTATGTGAGCCTACAGGTTATAAGACTACACACAGACAGTGCTACAGATTATAAGACTACACACACAGACACAGACAGGTCAGTGATCATTCTTGTATCGCGTGATTCTGCTAACTAGTATAGCTTCATACCGACAACTCAAACCACCGTGAAACACGCTAGCTCGACAAATTATCGGATGATGGCTTACACATGAGAGGACGAGGAGGTGGACAGAATGCTAGCCTTTCCTAGAGGCCAATGCTGCAAACACATGCTCTT